AGTCTGTAAAGCGACAGTCCCCAACACTGAAGGGGCAAGATCATGGCTGTAGAGTAGAGAAGGTAGAGAGGGTAAGGTGTCCCAATGAAATTCTCCTAGGACAGCCCTGATACCCTCGAAGAATACTGTGATGGAAAAAAAATCCTGGGTTCAATTTCCCTAGCTCATCAATAGAGGATCCCTGATGACATAGTGCATTACTCATTGGGCTGTGAACCATGAGGTCAGCAGTTTGAAACCACCAGTCACTCTTCAGGAGAAAGGGGAGGCTTTCTGCTCCTGTAAAGAGTTAGTCTCAGAAACTCCTAGAGGCAGATCTGCTCTGACCGATAGTGTCTCTCTGAGTTGAAACTGACTCAATGGCAGTGAGTTTTTGTTTTTGTCCCAATGCAGTTTCCAATTTTTTATTAAAAAACTTCTAATATGACCCTGTGATTGTCCTGTGTCCTTCAAGAACATATCAAACATATCAAAATTATAAAGACTATCCCTTTGAGATGGACCAAAACAGTCACCTTCTAAGCTGATTTCTCTGCCTTGAATTTAACTGGGCCAGTAGACCCCTGTTTGGATTGGACCTTTTTTTCTTTAAGGCATCCTAATGAGACTAAGACAAGTATATTATTGAGAGAACTTGTCTGTAGCCATCAACTGATCACAGAGTCATGCTTTTGTTTTTGAAAAAATAAACCTGTTCATACATGAACTGGAACCCTAGTAGCAACTCTTTTGGACATATCCTCATGTGTCACGTTCATGGAAAAAATAAAATTAAAAAAATAATGAAATTCTCCTATGAATGTTTTAAAGCCCTCTCATATGTGTGTTTAGATCCATATACATATATATTATTTGTGTCTTTATATATTAGGTCACATTGGCCTGCTCAAGTTGCTTGATGACACTAAAATCACTAAGGTCCCCAAACCAAACTCACTGCTAATTTTGACTCACTGACCCTATAGAGGATTTCTGAGACTGTAAATATTTATGGAATCAGGCAGCCTCATTTTCCTCTGCAGCTGGTGGGTTTGAACCTCCAACCCTGGGGTTAGCAGCCCAGCAGATAATCCTCAGTGCCGCCAGGGTTCCTAACTAACTCAGTTCCCGGGGTGGTGCAAATAATTTGTGCTCATCTACTAATTTGATGGTTGGTGGTTAGAACCCACCCAGTGACTTCATGGAAAAAAGGCCTGGTGATCTCATTCCATAACGATTATAGCAGTTCGGGTTATTCCATGTGTTGGCAGCTAACCACATCCAAAACTGAGGCTTCCATAGAAGAAGGAAGACACCTTATGGCCTTGCATCATGTGACTAGACTATCAACCAGTTTGTGCCCATCATCTTGCCCCTTCCTTTCTTCTTCCCTCGGGGATGCCAGCCATCTCTTACAAATCAGCTCCCAGGAGCCTAATGAGTAGTCTGCTTTAGGTGGCAGTGATTTTGAAAACTCCAACCTACTCCCCACAGCAATGGCACCACTCATGTGTGGCTCTGAGGGCTTCTGAAGACTGATAAAGATGTACAGATCTGTTAGACTAAATGACTTTTAGACCTGTTCTTTGTCCCTGCAAGGAGCCCTGGTGGCACAGTGGGTTACATATTGGTCTGCTAACCACAAAGTCAACAGTTTGAAGCACCCACCAGCCTCTCCAAGGGAGATAGAGGAGCCTCTCTTTTCCTGCAAAGATTTATAGCATTTGGAAACCCACATGGGGCAATTCTACTCTGGCCTATAGTACAGGGTCACTGTGAGTCAGAATTGACTCAACGGCAGTGAGTTTTAGGTTGTGCCTGCTGTGTTAGCGGTTGGAAACAGGAGGGTGAGGAGTCAGACCTTGGGACTATCTTTCTTGTAGAAATGTTGTGCTCCCTCACAAAGGTAAATTGACCTTTGAATAACATTACTTATCATCAAAGGGGCAGTTTAAGGACATTGCCTCAGATGATCAGTCCTTGCAGGATCCATGCTCTTACTGGGCAAGGGTTTCACAGGGCCTCAGCTGTCTCATGACTGCCAACATTTCCAGCATCTCTAGTCCTAAGAAGAGGAAGGAGCTGTATCCTAGAGATTGCCTGAAAGAAGAAAGAGTGCTGGGCAGAACCAGGACAAATTCTCAGTCAGCCTCTCCCAGCAGGGCAAAGGAACAGGGAAATAAGAGACCAGAGGATTTAGTGACTGAAAGCGCCAGAGAGTCCCAGGGCTGAAACTGGAGAAGCTGATGGGTAAGGGGGATCAGGTGGCAGAAAACTTACAGCTCCACACCAGCCATGGGGGAACCAAAAGCATATAACAGCAGGGGCTTTGCCTTCAAGAAGCTTATGATAATTTAGTTGGGGAAGAAAAGATAACACCCTTGCAATAATTTGTAATTTGGTGCTAAATAATTGTTCAGCAGCAAAAATGCTATAGGAACACTGAGAAAGGGACAGATCGTGTGGACTGGCATGCTCTGTTAGCTGAATGGACAATGTGTATCCAAAAGGACTTTATGTCCCGCTTCTAACGGTTATAGCTTTTAGAGATGAATGTGCCTGGATTTCACGGAAGAAGGAAAGGAGAAGAAGTTTCACTTTCACCACCATTAACAACAAACATTAACTGAGCATCCCTCTCTTACGGAGAAAGCAAACACAGAAAGAGTTGAAGGATCTGTACAAGAGAGGAGAGCCTTTAGGACAAAGCCAAAAAGTGTGGGTTGGGGAAGTGAGAAGAGGTAGTTATTGAGTTGCCCCTTGGAGGAAGGTTAAAAAAAAGTTGCCTTCGAGTTCACGCCACGTGTGTATAGAGTAGAAATATATTCTGTAAGGTTTTCATTGGCTTATTTTGGAGAAGCAATTCATCAGAGCTTTCTTCCAAAGTGTCTCTGGGATGACTCAAACTTGAACCCTTTGCACCACCTGGGGGCTCCAAAGAAAAGTTAAGGTTTGGATTAATGGGGTGAAGGGAGCCATAAATGGCACCAACAAGACAGAGATGTAAGAATAAGCAAGGAAAAGATGATAAGTGAGAATACCTGTTGGACTGGAGGAAAGGGTGTGTAGGGTAGCGTGGGTGCTACACTTGGAGAAAGTAGCAGTGTGTTCTCAGATTAGGGAGGGCCTTGGATAGCAAACCGGACTTGTTTGGGGATATAATGGGATGGCATTGCACATTTGTGTACTTGGGGAATAAGATTATGAGGAAACAGATGGAAAACCTTTTTAAAAGAAAGGCAAATGCTGGGATTCCACATTCTTCCTAGGTTCACACATCCAGGTTTTCCCAGGGCATGGCAGGGTGGGGGTCGCTGAGTTGGTCAGACTACATGAGATCCATCTTAAGAACTGATATCTAAATTTCTAAATCAGCCCCAGAATGTTCTGCATATACTGGCATTAGAGAACTCGGTGCCAGCTAGAAGACCTGAATCCACATTTTGTGAAGAGTTCTCAGATTGATAGCTAGTCTGGACCTCATTCATGAAACTGAACAAAAGCAGCAGCCTTCTAGTTTAGCTGCTAGCCCGGGTCCAGACCAAGATGCGGAACCAACTTTAGAAGGCAACAGACTTTGGCTATTGAATCTGCCCCGGAATCAACTGCCCCCCACCCCAAATGAGATAGCAGGTGCGGCAACCTTTACACCACAACCACAAGGCTTCCTTCAGGCCCCCCTTCCCTCCTCCAGCCCCCAGGTGGCGGCGGCTCCTCAGCCGCTCCTCACATAGATTCTTTTTTACTGACTTCCTGAAGCAAAAGGCAACTAACTGGAGGCAGATGTTTTCTCTTTTTCTCTGGGGTTTAGAACTATGCAAATGAAGGCAGGCAAACAAAAGCTCAGTGAGCTGGGGGAGGGTTGCGCTTCAGAATCCAGGCAATTTTCAGCTCCCTTTAGGACACCCCTCTCAGTTTTCACTAGCAGCGTTCTTGGCCCTTGGCCAACCTATTTAGAATTTGGTGCCTTTTCAGAACCTTTCAACCAGAGACCTGGAAGTTCATTCTATCCCCCGGATCTTGGCCTCCTTTTGCAAGTGGCGGATTCAAGGCATATAATATGCGCTTCAGTGCCCTTAGCACATAGACAGTAACACACCCTTCAATCCTATCATCTCTCTTCTGTGCACAATCTTGCCTGGAAAAGAGACTCTATGGCCCAATTGCCTCCCAGGCAACCCTCGCCCCTCCCAACATATTATCTGGAGGGCAATAGGACCTAGGGAGGTTCAACCATGCAGACAAGGCAGACACACCTGCCTAACCGCGTGGGTTGAGGGAGTGGGGAAGCCAACTAGTTAGCAAGTTAGGGAGGGCGGGGCAGGAGTGGGAGCCTGCTGCTCGTAGGGAAGAAGAATGCCTAGGCTCCCTCCAGGGTCAGGGGGTCTTGGTGACAAGTGCCTCTGAAGAGTGGGGCCAAGCCCCATCGGTGGGCCACGCTGAAACGCTTTAGCTGGTTTTGATGGGTCCCGGCTGCCCTTGCAGCCTCGGCCGCCCCCGCCCTCCAGATACTTTAATTTCTGCTGCCGCCTCTGAGACTGCTCAGGCAGGACCCCGGCAGCAGATGGCGCTCAGGAAGCTGGCGACCTCGGCCTGGCGGGTTGGTCCTTGATAACGCTCACAAACAAAGTTATTTTTCCCGCGGACAAGAAGCCCCTCTACCCTGGCACAGATCCTGGAGCGGGGGTAGATCTTGCCTCACTTGTTCTTGGAATACTTGGAATACTGCGCTCGGGCACGCGGTGGTGACTCTGCTTCTGCCCCGGGGGTGGGGGTCACGCGTCTTCTGGCTGCTCAGGGGCGGGGCTTGGGGAACCTGCGCAGCCTTCGGGAGAGCCCTGGGCTCCTCGTGGGTCCTGAGCAAGCGTCGTCGGCGAGCGGACGAGCGACTAGCCACAGCCTGGGCGTTTAACCGAGTTCCTCCAAAGGGACGTTCAGCCCGCGCGCTCTCTTCTGCCCAGCCTCTGTTCTCTGCTGAGAGGGCACAGTGGTGGGAACGTCTAGAAAGGAGTTGCTGAGCGTCGGAGCCCCCCACAGAGGGGGATACCCACCTGCCACTACTCACCTGCCAGCTGTTTCCATGGCTCTTTTCTGCGTGCCTGGGATTGGACTCCGGACTGAGCGCTGGGATGCTGGCTTTCACCTTATCCAAGTTTCGCAGCATGCATGTTGACAATCGGAATCCTGGGCCAATCAAGAAATAAATTCAAAGTGGCACTCCAAGACTCTCCGTTGGAGACTCCATCAAGTCTAATTTGAAACTAGTAAAGAGGGTCCCTCCTCTGACTAGTGGATCTTTGCCCGGGCCCCTCCTCACTGATACTTGGACTGTGGCGACTCCAGGGTGCTCTTGGATGGAAACGGGTGTGTGCACTCTGAAGACCTGACCTCAACACTCAGAAACCTCAAGGATGGACAGAGTTTATGAAATGCCGGAGGATCCAAGTGTGGATCAGGTTTCATCACTGGAGGAAGATGTCATCCGTGGGGCCAACCCCCGCTTTACCTTCCCGTTTGGCATCCTCTTCTCCACCTTTCTGTACTGCGGGGAGGCTGCATCTGCCTTGTATATGGTTAGAATTTATAGAAAGAATAATGAAAGCTATTGGATGGCGTACACCTTCTCCTTCTTTATGTTTTCATCCATTATGGTCCAGTTGACCCTCGTTTTTGTCCACAGAGATCTGGCTAAAGATAAGCCTCTATCGTTGTTTATGCATCTCATCCTCTTGGGACCTGTTATCAGGTGAGCAACTTTTTAATCTCTTCCTGTATCCCCAAACTTATGCAAAGAAAGATAAAGTCAACAAGTTTTGATGAGGTGAGTACTGTGCCTCCGATCTAATCGATTTTTCCATTTCTTCTCACTTGACTTCCCTGCCTACCATTCCCCCCAGATGCCAAATGTAACCATGATAAGCATGTGGTGTGTCCCTGTGTTCCAAACTGGGTGTCACCTTTGAGAATACTTCATTAGACGGATTGTGAAAAATAGTATGGGGCTGATAGCCTTGCTCACCCTACACACACAGGCCATAGCTGCAAAGTGTGTGGATTTAGACACTCTGTAAATTGAACGAACCTCCCGCCCTCCCTCTCTCCATCTCATCTCATATTTAGTTTCTTGACCCTGAGCTGCCCTGCCTGCACTAGTGCTGCTGCCATTTTCAAGTTTTCTAGCATTATTTGACATCTCAAAAATATTTTCAATTGACTACAGGAATCTGGCACCCCAGCCTGTTGTAGTTCCTTTTTCTCTGTCAGTTCAGCAGTCTCCGATGTATCTGTGTATCTGTCCCTCAAGAAAAGTACATGGTTAATGGGCAAACAAAGATGAGCCACCTCTTCATCTCCCGTCTGAATGCTGTAGCACTTGGTCATAGTGTCAAGTCTTCCCATTCTGATTGACTTGGAGGGACTAGACTGGGCTTTATCCTAGGGAGACAGCAATCTCATTTGGATACCTTGGAGTTTTCAAAGTAGGAAGACATTGCAAAATGTATGAGCTCAGAAGGTAGGAATGGACCAAGTATAGCTGGATTGCAAGAGAGACAGAAACCAGCAGTCAGCTGAGGAATATGGGTCAGAGTTTTGGTGTTGTAATTGCAATGGGAAGATATTTCTTCCTTAGAACACGACAGACAATCTGTGAAACTAATGAAGGATGGAAGCCCTCCCCCTTAAAAGATTATCAATACAAATGTATTTAAAAAGGAAGGAATTGATTAGGTTTCATCAGCTATAATAGAGACATCAATAAAAACAGTGGCCCGGAATTTAGGAGACATAGCGTCTAGTCATGGCGCGCTCACTGACTGGGTATGTGACATTTTTGACCTTCCTTAAAATGCCTAGGCCTCCATTTCCACATCTGCAAAACAAATGGCTTGGGCTAGATGATAACTCTTTAATTCAAATGTGTATGGGCCAGTCAAACATCAAAACTGAGTGAAGCAGGCCAAATATAAGAGAACTAGCAGCTTAATATATGGTAATAAATGAAAACTAAGCCTCGGGCCAGAAAAATGATTGAGAGTAGAGAATAGTGTAGGTAGAATCTGGAGGCCGAATGACCTGTCTAAAAGTGGCAGCTGCCCTATAGCGCCAGCCCATTGCATCCATTTTGTAATTTGTTCCTAGGCTTGCCAGACCCCTCAATTTTACTGAGAAGTCCCCAAGCCAAACTTTTACATGAAATGTCATGACTGAAAAATTCGGTACCTATTTGTTTAAAACAAACACACACACACACACACACACACACACACACACACACATCAAGTAGGCCAAACCACATCTGTGGGTCAACTGTGACTCAGTAAGCCCACATATAAGCTTTGTTGGCCTAAACTTAGTAGGAATTCAAATTAGATTTCAATTCCAAATCATTGATACCAAGCTGTAAAAGGAAGACCTCATTTTGATCTTGGGACTAAGGAACTTAGAGATGTCACTAGAGGAGCAAGGCAGCTAATAAAACCATTCTTCTCTCCCCAAATACAATATACTGATTACGTCATCAAGTCTTCTCCAGCTACGAAATTCAGCAAGCACCACCTAGTCCCCAATTTTTACTTCTCAGGTTTACTCTCTGGCCTCCCAAGCCATTCTTTGATGTGGTCTCTCTGAATGGAGTGCTGTGCTTCATTTTTGTGATTCGGCTTCCACTACAGATGATTGGGAGGCATTTACCCCTCAGCCAGCTAAGCCTACATTAGGGAAACTAATGAAAAACTCATACAATGAACCTTTGATAGGCCTATTTTTAAGACCATTTTTTAAAAAGTAGGTGGGAACTTGACTAATTCTATCAGCCACATGATCGCTGTTGGGAGAGCCTGTATGAAAACATACTTCTGAAAATGAAAATTTACCGAAATTTCTAAATAAGCCAGATACTCGACATAAACCATTCAATGTTGTTGAGTGCCAAATCGATTCCAAATAGTGGCTCCATGTGACAGAGTAGAACTGCCCCTAGAGGATTTGCTGGAATGCAGTCTTTACGGAAGTGGATTGCCAGGTCTTTCTCCCGCAGCACTGCTGGGTGGGTTCAAATGAGCATAGGGAAACACTTAACCAGTGTGTCACCAGGGCTCTTGCAACCAGTAAATAGCCTTAAAATTAGAAGCATAACCCACAGTGTTTATACTATTGCCTCCCCCAATATTTTATTCAGCAATAGCGTTGCTGGGCTAGGGTCAAAATATAAACTGATTTGTTGAAAAAGCACTTGTGGACTTCCTTTGAAGAGGAAGCATGCCCACTTTTTCTCTATCTGTTCTCTCCTTTCATCTTTTGCTCTCCCAGGTTTTACAGTTTGTTCCCAGAAAAAGGAAGTTTAAATGACAAGCCTCAGAGTGGTACACATGTACCAATCTCAGCGGGTCCTATGAGTAATGTACCCATCACTTGTTTGAAACCTTTCCACTGGGAGACAGAGCCTAGAGAACAACATAAATCACTGAGCCTATTTTTTAATGTTTTTTTCTTTCTGTTCAATCTTTGTCATTACTGTCATCCTCCCCATGCCTTCTGTATCCCTTATCGCTCAGCAAATATTTTTAAAATATTCACTATAAGATAAAGACTGTGAGCAAGATAAACACAGCCTCTGCCCTCAGTCTATCGGGGATGATCTCTTAGTTCTCATCACAAACGTCTTTCCTTGTCACAAGAAATGATCGACCGTTTCCAGTCATTTTAGTGTGAGTAGGGGAAGTGATAACTCAGGTGTTCCAAAACAAGATGTTCTAGTTGCTTTTCTTCTGTTCACCACATCAGGACAGCTAAGGACTTCTGATTTGGGTGGCGGGGGTGGGAGGTGGGGGGAGGGGTGGAGATGAGAAGCATGCAGCCGGAAATGTGGTCTTTTCACTGTTGTAAGGGTGGTAGGCTTTCATCAGTATGTTATCCTCCTATAAAGAAAGAACCAAGCTTCAAAACCGATTGTCCTCAAATAGGTCAAGCGGCATAAAAAAAAAGCCACCTTCTGAGATTCTGTAGATACGTAGTACATTTGGTTCTGGGTTGTGTTGTCTTGTATGTGCCCTTGTTAAATGATTTCTAGGTGGAGATGAGAAGTTTTTTTTCTTAACCCCTCCCCTCCAACTTCCACTAGAGCAGTGGTTCTCAACCTGTGGGTCGTGACCCCTTTGGAAGGGGTGTGTGTGTCGAACGACCCTTTCATAGGGGTTGCCTGATTCATAACAGTAGCAAAATTACAGTTATGCAGTAGCAATGAAAATAATTTTATGGTTGCGGGGGTCACCACCACATGACGAACTGTATTAAAGGGTCGTGGCATAGGAAGTTTGAGAACCACCGCACTAGAGACTTGTTAACTGAGACAGTTTTAGTTGTGGTCTCTGTCTTGAAAAAGCAGAACTTGAAAGACCCCCCCAATTTGGAACTGAGTGTGTTGAAGAAGAAATGCTTTACCTCAGGACCTGAGGTGTTACCAAACCAAAAGAAACCGAAGGCCTTTTGGCACCTTCCTTATGCTTTCTGGATACAGAACATATTAATACCTTTTGCTCTGAGGTGCTTTTCTATCACAGATCTCCAAGAAGTCCTTTGGAAACTACTTTTTTTAGTAGGTAACCAATTGAACAAAACAGGGTTCAGACTCAAGTACCTTGTAGAAATCATTACTAACCCTTTGACTCGTGAGAAATGTGTAGCACAGCAGTCTGACTGGCAAAAAATAGCACAACTTCCCGACTTATGTCTCCCCCTCACTGCTGTCTCCTTTCCCAAGGCAGCTTTAGTTAAGTTCCCATGATGCTTTACTTCTGCAGATGTTTGGAGGCCATGATTAAGTATCTCACACTGTGGAAGAAAGAGGGGCAGGAGGAGCCCTATGTCAGCCTCACCCGAAAGAAGATGCTAATAAATGGCGAGGAGGTGCTGATAGAATGGGAGGTGGGCCACTCCATCCGGACCCTGGCTATGCACCGAAATGCCTACAAACGTATGTCACAGATCCAAGCCTTCTTGGGCTCAGTGCCCCAGCTGACCTATCAGCTTTATGTGACCCTGATCTCTGCAGAGGTTCCCCTGGGTAGAGGTGAGTGGGGTCAGGTGAGGGGAGGGTTCCACTCATATCAGGGGTTTCTAGCTTCATGTGCTTATTTAAATTAAAATCAGATAAAATTTAGAACTCGCTTCCTCAGTCACTCACATTAGCCACATGTCAGGTGATGAATGTGACTAGTGGTTACTTATTAGTGCAATATAGACCAGAGAAAATTCTGTTGGAAAGTACTGAGAGATAGTTAGAGAACTTTAAGGAAGCTTCTTAAACTGGGTTAAAGGAGACTAAAAATTGCCAAGCATAAACCTTCTGTGAGTTCAGAGGAAGCTGGTATTATCAGAAGTCATTAGACTCGTTTCCCTTGTCCAGAGTATTTTAATTATGCTGCATTTGATTTTTTGTTTGTTTGATTTTGGTTTAGGGATGGAAGTCTTAAAGTAAGAGATTGATAAACTCTTGGAAAAGTTAAATTCCTTTCACGGGCTTCAATCAATCCCAGAGGGTCCGGAGGCTAGTAATCTGATTTTGTTTAAAGTACTCCAGTTGATTCTAATCAGTCACATTGGGAACCAGTGATTTTATCACTCCTTCCTCCCAGAAGAAAGACCTGACCATCTACTTTCAAAGGAGCAGCCATTAAAACCCTACCGAGCACAGTTCCACTGTGACATACATGGGGTCACCAGGAGTTAGAATTGAGTCAACGAGGTTGTTTGTCCCCAGCTCCAGTAAGGGGGGGAGGAAAAAGGAGTAGAATGAGTATTTTGGAGAGTCAGTCCTGGCCCCAGTTCTAACCTTCTCTATGATCTTTGGAGGAAGTTACCGATGCATTCCCTGCCTTAATTTCCCACTTGTAAAAGAGGAATCCTGAGATGAGTAAGACTTCTAGGCCAGGATGAGATGTGGGTCAGTGATTTCAAAGAGGACATGAAGTGCTGGTAATGAGATTAGTATAGCTGGTACAGATAGGGGTACTGCTTGGACCCGTTCTTTATTAGGTCTTGACCCTGCTTGGCAAAGCCCCTTGCCTTCAATAAATGTACAGAGGGACTTTGTCCTCTTTTCTCATTCATGAAGTTCTATTGGTCTTAAAACTTTTCACCTAATTAGAATCGACCATAATTTGAGGAGAGAGTTTCTAGATATGATGATGTTTTTCCTCCTGAGAATTTTGAAGGTCATGAAATCACCTAAAGAAAATATTGTACATTAGGAAAGCAATACATGCATACAGTAATTGACACACGGGCACTTGAGGTACTTGATTTACACTGTCAAAATGCAGATTTGGCATCCCCACGGGACTCATATTGTGCACAGAAAATACTTGGAAAGGTAGACAAGAAACTACCTCAAGGGAGTGGGACTAAGAAATCAGTAGACCTTTGCTTTTTAATATATACCCTTCTGTATAGTTTGAAATTATTATTGTATGTGCAATTACTGTGTATCCTATCAGACAATGTAAATAAATGCATATGTGCAATATATATGAGAGGGCATCAGAAAGTTCATAGAAAAATTGCATTACCTTCTGGTTCCATTTTTCCAAGAACTTTTTGAAGCTTCCTCCTATGTGTCTTTATATCTTTGGCCCCCAAAGTGGATGGTGTTAACCATTTGGTTCAACAATATGTCTTTTTAAAAAGCATGGCAGTATATCTTATTTTCCATGGTTATTTATATATCCATATAGAATATATAGTAATAAATGTGAGAGGAAGTAAAAAATATTGCTATAAACAATAGAACCCTTAATTAAACAAAACTATTAAAATGTGAAGCCATTCTTTCTCGACATATCCTCCATCTAGTCCAGGGGTCCTCAAACTTTTTAAACAGGGGGCCAGTTCACTGTCCCTCAGACTCATTGGAGGGCCGGACTATAGTTTAAAAAACCATGAACAAATCCCTATGCACACTGCACATATCTTATTTTTGAGTCAAAAAACAAATGGGGCAAAAACACCCCCGCGGGCCGTAGTTTGAGGACGCCTGATCTAGTCTATACAGTACTGAAGGCAGTGTCTCTAGCTCTCTAACTCTTCTGGGCTCTTTGATTTACACCATGTCAAAATGCAGCTTTGGCATCCCCAAGGGACTCATGTTGTGCTCCTTGGAAGTGTTCTTTGGCCTTGGGGACACAAAGATACCTGAAGGAGCAAGATCAGGTATGTAAGGTAGATGGGATAAAGTTTCACAATGAAATTCTAAGACATCGCTTGCTACCCTGAAGAATGAACATTGTTGTGATGGGGAAAAAATTCCTCAGCTCAACTTTCCTGGTCTTTTTCTCACTAATGCAGTTTTCCATTTTCTTAAAACTTCTTCAGAATAAGATCCCCAGATCCTCAAGATAATCGATTGAGATTACCTCTTTGGAATCTCGCAAAATAGTTGCTGTAACCCTTCTGAGCAGATTTCTCGGCCTTGAATTGAACTGGCCCAGCAGATTCCCTCAGAAAGCACAATTTTGATCGGACCCGAACAGACACGCACATGATTGAGGGAATGTGTCTTTTGCCATTCATTGATTTCAGAGACATGTTTAAACATGTTTTGTTTGGAATACACCTGCGCATGCATGAACTGGAAGCCTAGTAGCAATTCTTTTTGACTTAACTTCAAATTTTTCTTATATGAATTAGATCATTCTTAGTTTCATAGTACTCTCTTGGTAGGATTAAAGTGTGTTTTAATTTTTCACATGCAAAAAGTTTATTTCTAATTACAAACTATGATACAGTGAATATCACTGAAAATACCTCTGTACTTGAATGAAATGTCAGTATTAACAGCAGTATTGCTGGGTGATAAGGTATGTATCTTTTGAATTTTGAGAAATACTGCCAAGTATCTCTTCCAAAATGTTTTATTAATTAAGACTACCAGCAACAGTGTATGAATGTGTATGTTTCGCCATGTCTTAAAGCTAAGTATTATTTAGTAATACAATTGTAAAATAGCTGGTTGTTTTCATCTACTTTCTTAATTGTGAGTAAAGCTAAGCATCTTTTTCATGTTTGGGTATTGTGTGGGTTCTGTAAATTGTTTGTTTCCAAAAGTTTTTGGGGAAAAGGAATGAAAAAATAATGGAATTTTCCATGTGTTGGAATCCCCCTTGCATTGTACTCACATTTCCCTGTGGATATTAATTTTTTCTCTGCTGTGGATGAGTGCATATGTATACATTTATCTTATGGCTGGTATGCTTATACACACATACATATGGTCACATGAATAACACACTCAGTTTAAATGTGCGTGTATACCTGTTATATGTGTACACATGAAATGTGCAGCACAATACACATACAGTAACTCCTGAAATTCTGAAATATTAATGCCTCAGTTTGTCAAATCCTTTATTGCTTTTAGATCTGGTGACTTTCTTACAAAGGACTTCCACAGCTCATACCTGGTAGAGCATTTCACCCCATATTACAAATCGATTGAGTTTACCAATTTCCCCACTAAAAAAAACAAGCAAAACAATACCACCAAAAGAAAAAAAAAACTTCATTGAATTGATTGAGATTGTATTAAATTATTTCTGTAGATTAATTTAGAGAGAGTTTACATCATTTACTATTGATCACTTTTCATATTAGAAGATGATAAAGCCTTCCATTTCATTAAGTTAATGTACTTCAGCAAAATTCAGTATCATTGTATACATTTTTGCAAAACTCCTTTGTAGGTGTTCTGTTTCTAAGTCCTTATTTTGTAAGTGCCAGGGTAGTACCCAGGTGATGAAAATGGATGTACTACATCTTTGAAAATAGGGAGGGAGGGGGTAATGATGATGGTAGCAGATTGAATTTATTATGTTCATGACCAGTTTATTATATACTCTAAAAGTGGATGATACTGCCCTTCTGGGGGTGCTAGAAAGAGCTAGGGGGCCTGCAAAAGCAGATACCTATACTTTATCTTAGATTATGAACTATAGTACAAAAGTTTTTCATTGCCCAGGGATCACTGAATGCTTTTTCTTTTGTTCTTTCTGAAAAGGGGGTGGTAGGCCAAATAAGTTTGGGAACCTGTGCTCTAAGCCCTTTACCTGTAATTATATTCATTTTATCTTTACAACAACCATGTGAAGTAAATACTGTTATTACCCTTAGCCTACAAAGGAGGAAACAGGCACTGAGAGGTTAAGTAAATACTCTATGGTCCCATAAGTAGTAGGTGGTTATGTTGGATTAGAACCCAGAATGTCTACCTTCAGAGTAGTTTCCAACTAGATCACTATACAAAGGATGTAAAGGAAGTTTTTCCAATTTTCAATTCCTCGGTGATATCTCCTATTGTCTTTCTGACAATACTATAGCTTTTAGGATTTGGATAACAACTTTTTGGTTTATTTTTTCTTATTTTAACCCACTCATTGATTTTTACCTTAGTACCCCTTTTCTGGTCCCCTTTTTCTTGGAGGCCATCTGAAGCAGTATGGATGAGCAGATTCACTAGCCCCATTGTATTCTCTTCTGGGGTGAGTATATTTGTAGGGAGACAGATAGAAGGTGTTTTCACATTGATGTGGCTCGCCAGGCTTTCTTCCTTTTGTCGCACTACTATTAATAAATGCGTTCTAATTCAAATGAAAGCGTTGATGCTCTGACATTCTTATGTCCACATGCAGCATCAGTTCTTTAGGATGGGACTCAGAGTGTACTTTTGAAAGCCACAAGTAGCCATTTGAAATGCGTTTCCCATGACAGTTATTGAAGATTCGAACACTATGTACAGTGAGGGTGGGGGGCGGGAAATCTCAGCTACAAAGCTGTGGTTCCTGCAGATTTCCATAGGGGACGTTTGTCTTTCATTTTTAAATTGATTTCTCCTGGGTTCTAGATTCCCTGAATTCCATTCTTTTTATGAGACCTGCCAACACTGACTTTTCTTTTGGATGAGTATCCCCCAGGCCTTCTGCTTTCCTGGAGGGCACTGTATTATTGTCTTAGTAATTGGTATCCTTTGAAATACAGGAAGCAAAGGCCATCTTTGTTTTCTACAGTTGAGATAGAATACAGGAAGTTGGAAAGCATCCTGATCCTTCAGGTTCTCTGCTCTAAGCTGTAGTGGTATATATGAGCTAGGAAATGAGTTTGTTTGGTTGCTTGTTTTAAACCACTGTCAGAAATCCAGGGTTCCCTGAAGTATACCAAGGCAAGGGGAGTGGTGAATTAACATCGCTGATAATAAATACCAGCAATTCCAGAGTATCTCAGTGAATTAGGACCAGATCCCAAACAGGTGAACCAAGGGCCTTAAATCCTACATATTTTAAGCTACCTTCCTGAATTTGGAACTCTTCATTTCTGAAACATTTTTGAGCACTGATGAGATAACAAGCAATATATCTGGGAATACAGCAGTGAACAAAATAGGCATGGTACCTTCTGCCCTCGTGGAATTTCCAGTGCATGTTTTGATACATACCACTGGAATTCAGGGTTCTAGAAGCATGCACAACAAGATTCTTCTGTTGAAGAAGATACACGTCAAAGGAGGGATTTCAAGAAGGTGCCACAAATCTCATGGAAAAATACCATTATCTTTTCATTCCATGTTTTCCACAAACTTTTTTGGTGGAAAAGTTTTTCCACAAACTTGTATTAGTGAGTGTCTAAGACTGCATTTAAAAAACATTTTCTTCTTGCCTCTTTTAACTTTTGCTCGGAAGGCAGTTTCGTGATCTAAATGCTGCCCTGTCCTCTTCTCTCTGCTCTTCTCGTGTTAGCGATGTCTCAGTGTTAGCTCCAAGACTTCGCTCTTTTTAAAAAGTTACATTTTTTTTTCATATGATTATTAGATTATTTCATTGTTTGCTTATCGTGGGAAATTTAGGAAATAGAGAAAAGGGAAAGCACACAATTTTAAGAACCCCAAACATTTTGGGTTGTTTTAATTTTTTCTATATGTACTATTTGTTTGCATAGCAAACTGTTATCACGCGGTTGCCCTTCAGTTTCAGCTACCATCTCCCAAGACCTCTCGGTTTAAGTACAGCCTTCACCACCACCATTGATTCTCTGTTGTTGTTGTTGTTGTTTCCTCTTCCTTCCTTGTTTGTTTTTTCTTACAGCTGTGCTAATGGTCTTTTCCCTGATCTCTGTCACCTATGGAGCTACCCTCTGCAATATGTTGGCTATGCAGATCAAGTACGACGAATACAAGATACGCCTTGGGCCTCTGGAAGTCCTCTGCATCACCATCTGGAGGTCATTGGAGATCACTTCCCGCCTAATGATTCTGGTGCTCTTCTCAGCCACCTTGAAATTAAAAGCTGTGCCCTTCTTATTGCTCAATTTCCTGATCATCCTCTTTGAGCCTTGGGTGAAGTTCTGGAGGAGTGGTGCCCAGATGCCCAGTAACATTGAGAAAAATTTCAGCCGGGTAGGCACACTAGTGGTGCTGATTTCAGTCACTGTCCTCTATGCAGGCATTAACTTCTCTTGCTGGTCAGCCATGCAATTGAGGTTAGCAGATAGGGAACTTGTTGACAAGGGTCAGAACTGGGGACATATGGGCCTCCACTATAGTGTGAGGTTAGTGGAAAATGTGATCATGGTTTTGGTTTTTAACTTCTTTGGTGTGAAAATATTACTGAATTACTGTCACTCCCTGATTGCCTTGCAGCTCATTATTGCTTATCTGATTTCCATTGGCTTCATGCTCCTTTTCTTCCAGTACTTGCATCCATTGCGCTCACTCTTTACCCACAATGTAGTGGACTACCTCCACTGTGTCTGCTGCCACCGACACCCTCAGGGCAGGCCTGAGAACTTACAGTCATCTTGTGAGGCCGAAGCAAGGCAAAGCATTGTTTGATTCTGTTTTTCATCTGGAGATGGGTTGGGATCTTCCAAGAGCAACAATGAGACCTAAGGAGGGTGAGTACCCACAAGAATATTTTCTTGAGATTTCTGGTAAGCCCATCTGAAGAAACAACAGACTCCAAATGCGTTTTGGTTCCTTAAGACTGCTGGTCATAATGAGGACCCACTACATACGTGGAAGCTTCAGAGATACTGTTCAACACCTACCCCAAACCCTCTTAGCTGTCTGACTGCCCGATGGAATATAACTTTCTAGCTCTGCTAATTTGCTTCAGACTTCACGGAACTATTCTGGGATGAGCTGAAGGAAGGCCCAGGATTCTTACCAGTTGTGGGAACCTCAGAGGTACCAGTCTGACACATGTGGAAACTGCAACTGTGGGAGTGTCTGAACTTCTTTAATTCCAAACAGAACCTCTGCCAAGAGGAAGGCCCTTATTGTTGAAAGAGCTTCTCCCTAAATAACTTAGCTCTCCATCAAGATTTCCTAGTAATCATTCAATAAGGATCTATTCTCTGGCAGGCCTTTGGGCTTTCGTAGGCACACTTGGACTGGGGAGTGCCGAATAGGACACACACTAGAATGACTCTTTTCTCAGGGACTTGCATGGGCCCCCAGCTTGGGCTGGTGGGATTAAATATCTCACCTACTGCCTCATAAACAGGGATTCCCTTCAACCCAGCTTTTGTAATGCTCTTGTCATCTTACTACTTGATGTGGACCTCAAACTGATCTGTAATTGCAAATGTTTTTAATGTGTAGAAGAAATGAAGACTGCCTTGTGTCTGTCTCCTGAGTATTTTATTGATTTTTATTTTAGGTGGGGAGAGAAAGGAATAATGGTTGGGACATCATCCATCACCTTTATGTTGTTTGGGGTTACATGAGGTGGCTAACACTCTTAGGTAGAGTGAATGAGGAAGAAGGAAATCAGTCTGCATGAAATCACATTGATTTTGGTTTCTGCCCGCAGGATTTTACTTTCTAATAAAGAGCCTATGCTTGCCAACTTTTGCTCATTCATGCACCTTCAGTCTTCCTTTCTCATATATCTTGAGGTTTAGATTTTATTATTAGCTAGGTTTTTTGTTGGTGATATCAGCTGGATGCCTGATGATAACCAAGGGATTGAACTTAACTGTGGTCACTTCCTATTGAGATTATGTGTCTCAGCCTTTACCTAACCAATGCTTGCCCTTCACAGAGCAGGCAAGTGAGAGACACTCCTAGTAGTGTGCATCAGTTATGGCCACCCCAATGTTGCAAGAGGTTGTGACCAATCTGACATAAGGCTTCCTGCCCCCATCTAACTTTGTTTTATACATAATTTGTTTTGTTGTTGTTGTTGTTGAGAATATATACTACTTCAACAATTTCTGACTGTACAATTGAATGACATTGATTATGTTCTTCAAATAATGCAACTTTTCTCCCCATCTTTTTGAAATTGTCCCTCCCCTGTTAACATAAACTTACTGCCCCCTAAGGTCCCTGCCTGTTCTTTAGAGTTGCTGTTATTAATTTGATCCCATGTAGATAATACTTGAACGAGCACAATAATCAAGACAGACATTCTTTACTAGTTAAGATAAGTGATGGTTTGCTTTTAAGATGACTACAAGTGATATTTTTGGTTTAAGGTTTAAAAAGTATTTCAGGGCATTAGTTTTGGGGATTCACCTATTCTCCGTGGCTAGAGAAAGTCCAAATTCTATGAGAATTTAAAATCAGCTACCATCCAGTTGTTCTCTCAGGATTACATGAAAAAAAATCTACTTCCCTTGTCATATCCAGTGTTATAACAATATTTGGAGGAAGGGGCACCCTTTTAGTACTAGATTTGTTCCATTTCCCTGCATGCCTACCATGTTTTTGTCATTACAAATGCTGTTTGGGGATAAAAGGTTTGGCTATCTAATTTGGGGGAGAGTGATGTGACTTGCTTTGGAGGAGGGGAGGTTTCTTTCTTTCAACACCAACTTCCTCATTCCATTTTTCATGATAAAAAAGAAACTTGGGTTTTTTCCATCAAATGCTCACAGTGCTGTTTTGTTTTTGTTTTTTTACTGTGTTAGTCAAGGTAGATTTGAAAGACATAATCTATTAGACCTCCAGAACAAACTGCCTCTTTGGAATTCAAGCAATATTTTTTTCCCAATGGTCAGCATGCCCTCAATTAAGAGCAGGACTATAATTTGGTTCATAAAAGCCATGTGAATCAGCTATTTAAGTGGTGGTGCTATGGAAACAGAAAGAGAGAGAATTCAAGGCAAGCAGGCTAATTAGCAGTAGAGTGGAGATGTACAAGGCAGAAGAGGGTACATCAGTACTGGACCAGGCATATTTTCTCCCACGTATTCTGACCAGTCTCAGTGATTTAATTTCCTGACAATGCAAGGAGTTTAGGGAGAAGGGTGTGGAACAGCTTCTGACCTGAAAAACCTGCTGTCCTTACCCGGAGACAAGAGTCTAGCGATGCAGCATGCAAATGAGCCACAGAATCTTCCAGATGCACAGGTTCAGAAGAGAGTTTAGAATATGGTGGTTGGACAGAGGAAGCCTCATTCCATCTGAAAACACTTCTTGAATCTATTTTCTTGTTATCCTTTGAAATCCTAAAGCCTCACAGGTGGGAGAGAGGTACATATGGGGCCAGAAAAGGTTATTAGAAAATGAATACATTTGGGGAAAAGAACAAAGCCATTGTAAAAACAGCTAAGAGGTTGTTCTCAAATCAGTGGGAATTTAGAGGGTTCTTGTTATTTTGTTGTTGTTAAGTGTCATCGAGTGGACTCTGATTCATAGGAACCCTATGAAAAACAGAACAAAATATTGCCCAGTCCTGTGCTTTCCTCACAATTGTTCTTATGTCTGAGCCCATTGCTGCTGTAACTGTGTCAATCCATCTCGTTGGGGGCCTTCCTCTTTTTCACTGCCCCTCTCCTAAGCATGATGTCCTTTTTCAGGGACTGGGCTCTGCTGACAATATGTCCAAAGTGTGGGAAAATTAGCACATTAAAGAAATGTGTTAAATAAACTAATGTTTGTCAATTTCTTCCATTCCCCAAGTACGTTCAAAGGTATGGGAAAATCACAAAAGAGCAAATATTATATGAGACCATTGATATAAGGGGAAAAACAATAACAACAAGATAAAGGCTTGTATACCAAAAAGAACAAACTTTGGAGATTGCCAAAAGGGGGAGGGCAAGCAAGGGAAGATAAGGCAATGGGCTAGACTGTTGATGAGTAGTAACAAGTTACATTTAAGTATTCCATAAGAGTGAAACAGAAATCAAGGCGTGGGTAAAGGCTGAAACATTGTGGGGGTGGGAGGATTGATTAATAGTTCAAACTGTTTAATACAAAGTTGATGATCTGAACTGTAAATAGTCACCTAATTTATAATTTTTAAATGTTTTTATAAAAGACTATGGGTTAAGAACTGTACGGTGCTATAAGAGAAAGAAATAATAACTAATTTGATAAACCCTTACTATATGCCTGGGATGGTGCTAGGTACTTCATTTGAATTGTTGCATTCACTCATTGTTAACAATTCTTATGAGGCAGGTGCTACTATTACCCCCCATTTTACAGATGAGGATTCTAAAGTGTAGAAGGTTAAGTGATTTGGTCAAGGCCACGATTAGTGAGAGAGCCAAGATACAGGTGCCAAAGAGTACATTCTTAATCCTTATACAAATTTCTAAATGCTCTTAGGTCCTTTGTGAAATGGTTTAATATGTTAGTGGTTTCAAGAACATCTTCTGGTCTTTGACTGGATTCATAACATTCTTTCCTACAAACACTACTTATCAGGGACACCACTCAATTCACTCTAGAGCAGTGGTTCTCAATCTGTGGGTTGCAACCCCTTTGGGGATCAAACGACCCTTTCACAGAGGTCGCCTAAGACCATCGGAAAACACATATTTCTGATGGTCTAAGGAACCGAGACCCGCTCCTCTATCCGTCTCCAGGCGGGTCCGCCCCCCATGCAGATACGCCCACATACGAGTACCTGGTGGGAAGACTGTTACTCATGTTACTCATGTTACATCATGCCTCAAGACAAAATTTCATTGATTCTTAATTAGAAATAAATATTTCAAAATATATAATTACATATTATTTTTTGTGATTAATCACTATGCTTTCATTATGTTCAATTTGTAACAATGAAAATACATCCTGCATATCAGATATTTACAGTACGATTCATAACAGTAGCAAAATTATAGTTATGAAGTAGCAACGAAAATCATGTTATGGTTGGGGGTCACCACCACATGAGGAGCTGTATGAAAGGGTCGCGGTGTTAGGAAGGTTGAGAACCACTGCGCTAGAGAGAAGTTGGAGATGAAAAGGCATTCTCATACATCATTGGTCTGGTGTAAAAGCAGGCATATGACTTTAGAGGGTGATTTATACGTATTTCTCTCAAGTAAGTAGGAATGCTTTTTTGTCTCAGAATTTTAACCTCTAGGAATTTATCTTAATGAAACGCAAGTCTTCAAGGAAGTATAGAAACATAGCCAGCCACAAGTGTGCAAAGAGATATATACAGGGATGTGCATGGTAGCATTATCTGTAGGGGTCATAAATTGCCAACAATTGACATTTCTATCCATGGGGAAATGATTAGAGTCTGAAAATTCTGTAATTGTACTAGTCTCCAGCCATTAAGAAGAATGAGGTAGATTTATATAACAGACTGTATGAAAAGATATAAGACAAAAGCAAGCTGGAGAATAAATAAGAGGCAGTTATAAAGAAATAGCCAACATTTGGAAACAAGGGTGCAGTATGAAGCATAATGTTGCGCTCTGCCCCCACGATTCCTTGGAACCAATGAATATATATGTTGCACACCAAACCCGGTGTCAGAGTTGATTCTGACTTGTATAAACCCTATAAGACAGAGTAGAACTGTTCCATTGGATTTCCAAGGCTGTAAATGTTTCCATAAGTAGACTACCACAACTTTCGCCTGTGGAGCAGCTGGTGGATTTGAACTGCCAGCCTTCTGTTAGCAGCCAAACTCTTAACCACTATGATACTCAGGCTCCAGTATGCTACAAACACTGGGGAATTAAAGTTGGTAATCAGTTGGTGTTGAGATGAGATTATATACAGAAGCCTAAAGATGGTACATTGCTGGCTCTGAAAATGGAGGAAGGGGCCATGAATCGAGAAATACAATTGTAGACACTTGAAAAAAAAAAGTTAAAACATTCTCTCCTAGAAGGTCCAGAGGGAGCTCAGACCCTGCTAACACCTTCATTTTGGCCCAGTGAAACAGATTTTAGACTCTCAACCTCCTGAACTCTAAGAGAACATATGTGAGTGTTGTAAGCCAGTAAATTTGGCATGACTGGTTATAACAGCAAACAGCAATTGAAAACTACGTGATGTTTTGGTGTGCTCAGAGTATTTTCTAATGGGCCATCTGAATCTCTAGGTTCGTTAGACTGGTTAATTGCCATTCAGTCAATTCTGACTCTTGGAGACCCCATGAGTACACAGTAGAAAAGCTGTGACATTTCAGAAGCAGATCTCTAGGCCTATCTTCACAGGTGCTTCTGGCTAGGTTCAAGCCACCAACCTTCCCACTTAGTTGTGTGCACCATCCAGTGTCTCTAGGTCTAGATAATTTAATAAATTTTGTTTCAACTCATCCATTGCAATCTCTCCATGTATCACCACTTATCCCACACCCTGTTTCCTGTTTCCATCCTTTGTTATTCTCTAACCCTCTGTACATTGTTATTGTGTGTTACTCCAGGTAAACTAGAGAAATAAATCCATGGAAACTCAAATGTAAAAGAGAGAGTTTCATTTAAGGGTAATTGTACATTCAGAAAGCATCCCAACCCAGTCCAGTCCAAGTCCCTAAGGCTGATATTAGACCATATGTCTGATACCAATCTATAAAGACATTTTCTGACTCACAAAATACATGCAATGACACCGAATGCAGGAC